TTATACCAATGTTGCCAAAAAGGTAATAGCTAAACATCTCCCTTATATAAGACATACATTCAATCTATTAAAACCCTATGTAAAAATCTTCCATTCGTACATTGAACTTCTATGTTTAGAAGACTCTTAAAAAGGTTATTTTTCCATGGAAGACCTGTATAGGGTTCTTCAAAACTTTGAGGACCTTAAAGAATCATTAAATCTTTAAAAAACCGGTACAAGCAAGTTCCATCGAAAATCGTTTAAATGCCTTATTCTGGCACACCCTTTAATGTAAATACTTCCTATAACCCCTATATTGACAGCGCCTCCAAAAACCTAAATTTTCAATTGCGATATTTTCATCGCCACATAACAAAAAATTGAAATTGCTTTAGTCGCGACACTTCATCCTCCCCTTCGCACCATGCCATTCCCTAACCCCTTGGCGCTAATTTAATGGTGATGAAAATTTTATTTAATTAAAAATCACCAATATACCAAGCCACTTAGACACATCAGACTAGTGCTGAACGAAGCGAATGGAACCCAACCAACCAATGCAGGGCAACAAAGTCGATGATAGATGTTGGCCGGATGTTTGGGGGGGCAAGGGTTTGACAAAATGAACTGTAAACGCGATAGAATGTTGCGGACAACGAACCAAATACAATTACGTTTATGGTATTTGTAACAAAATTCAATATTGATCATGTTGGGGAGAGAAAAAATCCTCGATGTTAGTGTGTGTGGATGTTTGTATTAGTAACTGTGCGTTGATGCTTGTGGTAATATTTGCAGGATATCACACACAAACATACATGCATGTACTACAACTCCGGCAAAAGGACTTGTTTGTGTGAACAGTCATTATAAGTCTAGTATAGAGCCAATGTACATGTGTGTTTGTGGGTATGTGTGTGATGAGTACGTAAAGTTTAAATAAAATCAAATTTGAACATCAGCTCCGCCACCGCCAATCGCATTCAAATAAAAGCAATTGCCACAACTTTTCATTGTATAATATATGTATATACCCATATATGTAGGTCCATCCTGTCAAATATACTACTCGTCGTGAAATTCATTTTAAAAATGAGCAAACACACACACATACACTTACGTACATCCACACATTTTTATTGTCTACCCGCAAGGCTGATAGACAATAAGTAAATAATGGCTACACGATTTTGTTTGGCCAAAAATGAATGTGAATATTTGTGTGCAGGCGTATGAGTGTGTGTGTGTGTCGGTCGTTTTATTATCAAATATTTACATTTTTGGAAATATCTAATGGCTAGAAAAATTTAATTGAGTTTGGTGTTACTTTGATTTTTTTTCGTATCTTTTGTTAACATGTATTTGAGGCATTTTGATATATTAATATATGAGTATATGAACAACGTTTTCGGCTAATTGCATTGTTGAGGTTATATATTTGAATAATTTTGAACAAAAGTCTTTTATTAAATATTTATTAATAATGTGCTGCTGCCTTTATTTACAACGCCTGGTAACAACGTATGCTTTAATTTGAATTCAGACGTCAAGATGGGAGTGTATTCCTTTTGGGGAAAAATAAATTATTTATGTTTGTGAAAAAAGAATTGTTATTGGAAAAAAATGTGAGCGTAAAATAATTCTCCTTAGATTGAAAAATGCTTCCAAGCAATGTAATGTTTGTCAGGTATGGATGAATACCTCGTACAAAAATAATTGTTCTTAGAACTATCAAAAATGTTATCTGAATCAAAAAATCTTAGAGATCAGATTTATGAAAGCCTTAAAGGGTTAAACTGGAAGATAAATGAGACAAGGATTTTTAATACTGAACAGAAAATGCAATTTTTATACCCTCCGTCATAGTATGTAGGGCATAATAAGTTTGTCAATCCGGTTGTAACACCTCGATTTTAGACCCCACAAAGTGTATATATTCTTGATCAGCATAAAATTCTATGTCGATTTAACAATGTCCGTCCGTCTATCCGTCTCTGGAAATCACTCTAGCTTCCGAACAAAATGAAGTAAGTTGATAAAAATTTACTCAAATGTGTGTTGTGTCTGCAGGACTTATGGTATTGAAAATGGGCCGTGTAGGTCCACATCTTCGTATAGCCCCTAGATAACGGTACCTCTAGATATTCGGTATTTTGATGATTTTTGCGACATTATTTACCGGAATTGTTTCAAATTCGGTATTTGAAGTTCGTAATGGATACTACAGCCTATGCCAGAAAATTGTCTGTGCAGGCTTATGACAAAAGTTGCGTATGCAGGTCGTCGTGTAGACCCTAATAAACGGCTTTATTCGGTATTTTTAAGATTTTAACAGAATTTTTTAATTTAAAGAAATTTATGATAAATTTAGGATTTTGTGATAAATTTTTCAGTCTGTAAAATTAAAATGGGTATCTTTCTAAGGTCAGAATAGAAGCCTATAATTTCTGTAGATTAAAGTTTCATTTCTGCACCAAAAATGGATTTTTTCTATTTGTTGGGAGATAGGAGTAATATAAGTCTGTGTTTTTCGAAGTTCGGACTTAAAGTACATTAAAATTACGAAAAATCTTAAAAAAGTTGGTACCAATTGGAATTATGTATGGGTAAAATTTTAAAATCTTATGTGAGAATAAATTATTAATAAAATACAAAATATTACTAATCTGATACAATTTGGCATTGAGTGAACAGATAATGCTTGAAATCTGAAATTTAGTTCAGGGTTGGTGCACATAGGGAGGTAGTTTCAGAAATGTGTATTATAATTGTAAAGAAAGTACTGAATGGTAATATATTTGGTATTGAGTGAGGGGATAGAGATAACATTCTGAAATTTGATGTAGTTGTCATTATTGGTAAATGTGGTTAAGATATGGAGCTGGTTTTGAAATTGTGTACTAATTTTTTTTTGAAAAGTTCTAAGTGGTACTAAATTGGATATTGGGTGAAGGAATATACCTGGACTTCCGAAATTTGATATTGAGGTCTCTGTTGGTATCTGGAATTAAGATATGTAAGTGATTTTGCCAATGGCTGTGAAGGAGAGGTGTAGACTGTTTAGATATGAGCACTAAATGCTAATAAATTTGGTTTTGAGTGAAGGAATAGAGCTGAAATTTGATATTGAGGTTGGTTTCTAGAGTTTAAATATGGGGACATGGAAATTGTTTTGAACTGTTTGGGCTTATTATGCTAAGGTATTACTAATATCCTCGTTGCTAGACTTTTTGGCGCAACTGCTGGGATTCCTCCCTGAGAAGTAGTTTTTATTCTCTCTGGTAAAATGATAAAAATAGGGTTTTAAGAAGGCAGTGACTTCAAGGTAGGTTTACTGCGAGCCCATCCCTGCCAACTCAAAGCCGGAGAGTAGTCTGCAGATTCTCCAGAGCAGTTCTACACCTTAAGACTAAATCGGAATTGATTGTAGAAGATTCAATAGCTTTAAGAGCCGCATTATCCACATAAATCCGCCGCACGGGTATTGAAAATGGAATATATCGGTCCCCGTCAACGGTTCCTTTTGATTCTCAGTATTTTTTTATACCCTTCACTATACATAGTATGGAGGGTATATTTAGTTCGTCATTCCATTTGCAACTAATCGAAATATTAATTTTAGACCTAATATCAGTCTTTTATCTGCAGGCAGTTCAAGTTAGAAGGGTACTACAGCCTATGCCTACAGCCTACGATTGCGTATGCAGGTTCATGCCTTCGTATAGACCCCATATAACGATACTTTCCGATATTCCGAATGTTGATGATTTTAGGGAAATTATTCACCGGAATCGTTTCAAATTTCGTATTTGAAGCTCGTAATGGGATCATGGAAAATTGTATAAGTATGTTCACTTCCTCACATCGCTAACATATAACGACACATCCCTTTATTCGTTATTTTAATGATATTAGCGTCATTATTCACAGACATTTTTTTCCAGTTTGATGATACTAGAGACAATTTTTACCGGAATTCTTTCAACTTTCGTATTTAAAGCTCGTATAAGGGTACTACAGCCTATGACAAAAAAAGCAGGGCCACGTCTCCGTTTATCCCCCAATATAACAGGTTTCCTTTCAGTGGTATTTTTCGGCGGACTTTTTTTTAGTTCTTTATATGGGTAGTTTAACTTCACCAAAAAGGTCTTCAAAATATGTGTAGCCGTTAATGGTGATTTTGAGGATTACCACTACGTTAAAATTTTAGAACATTTTTAGATTTTTTTGAGGTATTCGTTACATAACACTATGCCATCGCAAGATATCAAATTGTCACTACGTTGCCCGATAACATCAATTTCGCAATAATACCGTCTTTTGCCAATTTTTATTACCACCCATCAGTCAAAAGATATTAATTTAGTTTTGCAGTGATTTGTTAAGTTAATAAATAATTGTAATGACCCCATTCGTAATTGTCTACAGTTAATACAAGATTTAATGGCCTAAATAAATCCAATGAATTATTAAAGGCAATTTATTTTGTTATTACATTTTATGATAGCTTTAGGTTGGTTTGAAATTTTGTTTACACAAAGGAACAATAAAGCTTAACCCGTTAACAACTACAAGCTCAACCGAAAAGTTATTGGCGAGCTTGGCGTTAGATTCATGGATTTGTTCCCCAAAGAATGAAGCAAATATTTCACTTTATTAGAGGCAAAAATACCACTGAAACCCAAGAAACTCCTTCCCTCCACCTGTCTCCTTAGCCCCATCCCTAATCATAATCACCATCATCATCCATTAATATCCTTGCATTTATACAAATTTTTTTACATCATCTACCATCTCTTACGCTTTTAATGTTCTCCTCTAGATTTTTCGGTTAAATGTTACTTTTAATCACCTTTTTTGTGATTAGCCCCCCACCCCCGCTTTATTTTATGTGTGTCTCCTTTTTCTTTCCCCCCTTAAAAAAAGAAGAAGAAAATAATAAACAATGTTATTTGTTTTATGGCTGGGAATTTGTTAATGTTTTTTTTTGTTTGTTTCGATTCTCGTTCGTTTTGCAGGTGCCGCCCACGAATCAAACTAGAAAAGAGGGCGAAAAGGTGATATTTTCATGTGAAGCTAAGGCTATGCCTGGTAATGTCACCGTACGATGGTTTCGTGAGGGCTCACCCGTTAGAGAGGTGGCCTCATTGGAGACACGCATTACAATACGCAAGGATGGTTCGCTAATAATAAATCCGGTCGGTGCCGACGATTCGGGCCAGTATTTGTGCGAAGTAACGAATGGTATTGGTGATCCCCAGAGTGCATCGGCATATTTGAATGTTCTGTGTAAGTATACAATGGAAATAAATATCTATACAAATATATAAATATGTATAACTTCGGGGAAGGGCCGGATACCTAGATATTTAACATGTAGTATCAAAATGATCTATTTTTGGACCCGAATTTCAAAAAAAAAAAAAAATAGCCCAAAAGTCGGAAAAGGCCCCATTTTAGGAGTTATTATCTTCCTTAGATCCCGAGATATTTGGGTCTTTGAACCTGGGGCAACCGATTATGTTCAGTACATTGAATAATGGCTTCAGTTTAAAAAGTTTCGCAAAGCCTCCTCTGGGTATGTCCAACACCCAGAGTGGAAAATCTTAATCCCCGGCCCAAGGAAAACTTTTGTTCGCGAAGCCGGTGTTGGTCATATCCAGAGGAGAAAATCTCATGCCTTAGCGTAAAAGCTGGGTCCAAAACCCGGATCTACTACACCGATATGGTTCGGCAGTTGTTTTAAAATGATTTGCTTTTTGGACAATTATTTAGAAATAAAAAACCTTAAAAGTCAAAAGACCCCATTTTGGAAGTTATTATCTTCCTTAGATCCAGAGATATGGGTCTTTGAACCCCGACTTATGTTCAATACATTGAGAAATGAATTCAGTATAAATATTTTTAATTCCCCAGCCTCTTCTGGGCATGTCCAACACCCAGAGTAGAAAATTTTAATCCTCGAATCAAGGCCGACGATCTAAAATAGCATAAAATCTAGAAAGACTTTAATTCGCAAAGCAGATGGCCGTAAATCTAGGCCCAAGACCCGGATTTAGACCATAGGCCGGCTACCAGCTTAAAACCTAGAAAAACTTTTTCCGCAAAGCAGGTGTTGGACATACCCCGAGAAGAAAATCTCAACCCATAGCCGAAAATCTGGGTCCATACCCGGATCTACTAAAACCAATGATAAATGTTTGGACCCGAATTTAAAAAAAACGCAAAAGTCGAATTTTAGGAACTATTGTCTTCCTTAGATCCAGAGATATGGGTCTTTGAACCCGGTCTACCTGATTATGATCAGTACATTGTATAATGATTTCATTAAAAAAATCTTTAATTCGCCCAGCTTCCTCTGGGTATGACCAACAACCAGAGGTGAAAATCTCGATACCCAACCCAAGGCCGGCTACCTAAACAGCATGAAGTCTAGAAAAGCTTTGATTCGCGAAGCCAGTGTGCCCAGAGAAGAAAATCTCAAACCATAGCCGAAAAATCCCAAGTGTTGGACCCCTAGCCGAGCCGGGCTTCAAGACCCGACTCAGTAAACAAATCTTTAATTCGCCAGCCTCATGTCCAACAACCAGAGGGGAAATCTCAATCCCCAACTCAAGGTCGGCCACCTAAAATAGCATCAAATTTAGAAAAACTTTGGTTCACGAAGACTGCGTTGGACATGTCAAGAGGAGAAAATCCCAAGGTCTAGCCGAAGGTCGGCTACCTAAAACAGCATCAAGAAAAGCTTTGGTATGATAAACCGAACATCATTTAGGAAAGCTTTGGTATGATAAACCGAACACAATCGGTTTGTCTGGGTTCTAAAACCATTTTGGAATGGTTAGAGTCTTTGCTATAATTTGGTATATAGTTATGTATGGCCATAAGAGACCCTTTTTCGACACTTTGGGGTTTTAATAAAAAAATCGGGTCCGATAATTTAGACATTAATCACGGATCGTTTTAAATAACCCCATATTGATGACCATTTGTTGGATAGGCTTTTAAATGAAACTCATATTGTCCGGATCTAATCCGGGTCTTGGACCCAGACTTTTGGGTCATAATCCGGGTATCCGCGTCCGATCTCCAAGAAATAAATACATTTTCGGAATTAGGGTATAAATATCAACCACTGGAAAATTAAAAAAAAATCCGAGCGTTTTTGCTGAAATAGAGTTGTTCCGTATTTGGATATGAATAAACGATACGTTTTGAAATATTTTTGAGATTTTGAAAAATTTTGACAGAAAAAATTTCGCCAACTGAAAAAAACGCTCATAACTTTTGGGTCGTATATCCGGCTATCCCATATTTTAACTTTTGGGTCGTATGTCCGTCCCCCAAGAAATAAATACTTTCCCGGAATTAGGGTACAAATGCCAAACTCATGAAAATTAAAAAAAAAAAACGAGTATTTTTACTAAACTAGAGTTGTTCCGTATTTGGATATGAATAAACGATATTTTTTGAAATATTTTTGAGAATTTGAGAATTTTAATAGGAAAAACATCGGCAATTGAAAAACTGCCGATATCACTCATTACTTGGTAATAAGAAAAATGTAATTTTCTTGATCTGTAAATTCTTATGGTAGCTATTTTACATTACCTTTTAATGGGTCATACAACTGCTAAACTTTTGCTGGTTAGATAGCGGAATTTTAATAGGAATTTCCTTCTATAGAAGTCCTTCCTTCTCGATGTCGATTTTTGCAAACCACGGTTCTCTTCTTCATTCAATAATCTTAATATAAATCCTACGTGTTTTGATCATTTAAAAAAATTTGATAGAAAATATGTTCGGTATTTGAAAACCCATGGATATTACCCATTACTTGGTAATGAGAAAAATATATTTGTTTTGACCTGTAAATTCTTATGGAATAATCCATAATTTTTAATCTTCCGACAATAAAAATGGTAGATATTTTACAACTACCAAGAAGACCTTAAAAGGTCATCCTTTCATAGAATTCCTTCTATACAAAACCACCCTGCACTAGATCGATTTTTGTATACCCCTTCTTTTAATTGTCTTTCTTAACTCATATCCAATTTCTTCATTTAAAATTAAATAATTCCAATATCCTCGTTTCAGATTCTGCCAAAGTGACCTTTACACCCACTGTACAATACCTACCGTTCGGTTTGGCCGGTGTTGTGCAGTGCTACATTAAATCGAATCCTCAGCTGCAATATGTCACTTGGACCAAAGACAATCGTCTGCTGGAACCGTATCAGGTGAAAGATGTCGTTGTCATGGCCAACGGATCGCTGCTATTTACCCATGTCAGTGAGAAACATCAGGGTCGCTACACCTGTCAACCGTACAATTCGGAGGGTTCTCAAGGCGCATCGGGAACAATGGAAGTGCTGGTGCGTAAACCGCCCACATTTACGGTTGAACCAGAATCGCTGTATCAGCGTAAAGTTGGCGACAGTGTCGAAATGCACTGTGACGCCGTCGAGGCTGAGGGCACCCAGAAGCCCACCATCAAATGGCAGCGTCAGGGTGGCGAACAACTATCCGACACACAGCGTAGTCGGGTACGCATCTCTGGGGGTAACATTACCATTGAAAACTTGCGTCGTGAGGATTTCGGCTATTATCAATGCGTTGTCTCTAATGAAGTAGCAACTCTAATGTCCCAAACTCAACTAGTTATCGAAGGCACCCAACCGCATGCACCCTACAATATAACCGGCAAGGCCACAGAATCATCAATCACCCTACAATGGATGCCGGGCTACAGTGGCGGTTCGGAGTACAAGCAAGACTACACCATTTGGTATCGTGAGGCGGGTGCCACCGATTGGCAAACAATCTCGGTCACACCATCCGGTAGTACAGAAGTAACGATCAATGGCTTAGCATCGGGTACTACCTACGAATTTCAGGTTGTCGGTCGCAATGTGCTTGGCGACGGTATGATGAGCAAAGTGATGACCGTGCGTACAGTGGGTAAGTTGGATGTTGAACAGTTCTTTGTTTGATTGTTTGTTTTTCCTACTTTCTTTCGAATCTCTCTTTAACTTCTTTTTTAGTTTGTATTTTGAGTTTTCAGTCTGTTACTACTATTTTTTTGTCAACTATCTATTCTATCTATCGTCTGTCTATCTTTATTGAAATTTCTATATATTTTCAATTTCAATTAAAAGTTAACAAAAATGCTTTATATGCACCATATCATTAATTATTATAACCATTAATTTTGGGTCGTGTTTAAGTGGAGTTTGAAAAACGAATGTGGGGATTGAATTAAATGAGAGTAAAATATGCTAAACATTTTAAATTACAAAAATGTGTTTTGCTGTTTTGAACTCTTAAGACGTTGTGGTATTGATTTGAAAATTCCTTAGTTGAAATTGGGTTTTATATAATACTCAAATTTTTTTATTTACATCCTCGAAGAATTTTCAGAAATTTTGAAAAAAAATTGTAATAAAAAAATTCTTTTTACTGTAGAATTCTTTCAAAATATTCTTTTATGTTACGAACATTTTATAAATAATTATTGAACGATTTTTTTTTTTTTTTTTTTTTTTGATTCAATATTGAATATCTAATTGCTTCGATCTTCAGTTTGTTGAAGGTCATACTTCAACGTTAACCTACTCAGAGAATGTGATATATAAACGTGGATTTTTATTACAGATGGTATGATTGTAAATCATACTTGGACCTTGGAGATCATACAAAACTTGGAACTTTTATGACAGGCTATTAGGTTGAACTTGAACGCGAACCAATATTAAATTTAATATTGAACGAGAACCACATTTATTAAATGTCAGTCATCCAAAAAGGCTGGTTGTCCTTGATTTGAATGTTTGAGAGATTCGATCTCCACTTTGTTGTAGGACATGCTTCAATGTGAAAGTCTAATCGGTTTGGAATTTTTTGATTCAAAAAGCATGGATCAAATTTTTGAAACAAGAATCTAGAGACCTCCTAAGTTTTATTTTAGGTTTTGGAAACTCGGTCTAAATTGTTAGTTTCAAATTAGTTGGCATAAAAAAACATTAAAGGGTGAGATAAAATAACTGCAACAAAATCAAAATGCAAAAAATATCGGAAATAGCATCAAATTATAAAATAAGTTTAGATTTGTTCGAATTAGTCACCTTTGGCACGAATTATGGCCTTCAAACGGCCAATGAAATCGTCACACGCTGTCCGAATGTTAATCTGCGGTATTTTTGGGCCATTCCCGGCGAAGCGCTTGCTTGATGTAATCGACATTTTGGTATTTTTTAGTGCCAACCTTGCTTTTCAAAATACTCCAGACACATTAGTCCAACGGATTGGTATCCGGAGATTTTGGTGGGCATTGTGCGTTGGAAATGAAGCGAGGAACCTCATTTTGTAACCATTCTTGTAACCTAGTAACCGTTCTGAGTGCGATAATGCTGAGTTCTGTTGGAATGTCCAAGGTTTGCGGCCAAAATGTTTGCGTGCCCAAGGCTTTAATACATCCTCCACAATATTTTCGCGATAATATTCGGCATTTATTCTGATGCCACGGTCGATTAATACAAGCGGAGAGCGACCATCGGCTGATATGGCGGCCCACACCATCACCATGGGCGGCGCATGAGTTCTGGTGGCCAACCGAAGGTGCACATTTTCAGCTGATCTCTTTGGCAAGTAAACACGATCATTTTGTTTTTTAACAAACAGCTGGACAACGAATGTTTTCTCATTGAAGAAAACCAAATCCGGCAGTTCACCACTTTCGGCCAAGCGAAGCGACTCTTTAGCTGTTCTGAATCTATTTTTTTCTGTTGCGGTGTAAGTTCTTGCACCTTTTGGAATTTCAATGGCTTTACGCCGAGCTCATTTTTTAATATTTGCCGAATGGAATTTTGCGATATGTTTAGCTCACGAGCTATTTTTCGGCCACTGCGCGGGTTTCGATGAAGTCGCTTCTTTACTTTTCGAACCATTTCTGCCGATGTTGCTATATTCTTCCGTCCTCTTCCTCGACGTCGGTCTGCGCTACCAGTATCACGGTAACGAGCGATGGTTCGAGACACAAAAGATTTATTCACATTTAAATGCTGGAGTGCTCTAACGATAGCCACTTGTGGTTTTCCAGCCAAATATAAAGAAATCACACTATCACGCTTGAATTCCACCACGAATAAATTTTTTCTGAAAAATTCTCACTAAAATGCTCTTGTACACTTGTAAGCAATATAATGTGCTGACACTAGCATCATATTAACAGCTTTCGGACGAGTGGCTTAGAAATGACAGCAGTCTGAAGTTAGTTGCAGTTTTTTCATCTCGCCCTGTATGGTTTCCAATTTTAGTTAAAATAATAATAATATGTGGTTCGATTTAAGGTACTAAATTTGAATTTATCCAAATTTCAAATAAGGTTTTACAACAGAAACTATATGAAACGAGCTTTCTGAAGAAATGTTTATTTTTAAAACGACCTTCTCATTCCTTTACGCCGAAAAGTATGCAACGACAAACGCGTTTGATCATAGATTTGACCTTATTCTCTCTTCAACGCACACCTAAAATTTTTTGAAATTTAACACGGCCATCTGTTCAAATATTATAAAATCAATAGTTCCCGTCTATTTTTTTTTTTTAAGAAAAATACTAGAAACCGACGCTGGTTTCGTGTGGGCATAACTCTAGGAGGGACTCATGTTGACTCAAGCCTTATGCTGCTAATCACATATATTTACATAAAAAGGATTTTTTTACCAAGATAATAAAAAGTGCAAGATGTGGGAAACCTTAATGGATATTGAAACCAAGAAATTTTTAAAAAACGATTTCTGAAAATGGCTCTTGTTTCAGATTTTTAAAAAATGTTTTATTTGAAATACAATTTTATTCAAACTTGAGGTGATAGACAATTTTTGTTGGTCCAAAAAAATAAATAGAAAAATGTATAGAAATTTTGTATCACAAAAGTTCACTAGAGTTTGGAAATTAATATATTTTGTTAATTAAATATATATAATTCAGTATTTTTTTTCTAAATTCTAATAAGTTCACGCAACGTCCTTAAGAGTTCAAAGTAAAGCGTTATTTTATAAAGATTTAAATTTTTGAAAGAAAAAAATAGCAAAAACTCCTTCAACTTAACCCAACTTCGTTTCTTCAAACTCCACTTAAACCCGCCTATATGTATCAATAAATTAGTCAACAAATACCAATCAAACAAAAAATAAAAAAAAAGAAGATGAACTACTAATGGAATTGGCCTTTAACCATTTTACTAAATCAATATATCTATGTTTTTTTCTTCTCTTGTATTTTCTTTTTATCTTTACTTTTCTTGTTTCATCTCAACTCAACTCTTACATTTTGGTTTCGAAACCACCACCACCACCACCGTCACCACCGAAAAAAAAACCAACCACCACCGTTTCGTTTCGTTGTCGACCATAAAACTCGAATCAAAATCAATCAAATCAAATTAAAAAAAAAAAAAATCGCTCTGTACCAATCAATCTCTATATATATATAACTATCTATCTATCTCTCTCTTTATCTGCTCATATCAAATCACATTGCAACAACCAACCAACCAATCAATCGACAAATATCAAAACCAAAAAAAAAATATCGCCCAAAAAATAAAAATCGAAAAAATTGTGAAAATGTGATAAATGAAAATAAACGTAAACGTACGACATACGAAATAACGAATCCCTAATGAAACGAAAATGTTGAAATTTGAATTTTTATTTGACTCACAACCTCCCCAAACACGAAACAAAAAACAAAAACAAACAAATTGTTGTCGTTGTTGTATTTGCAAACGAAACGTACGAACGAAAATTCAAATTCAACAGAAGCTCCCCCGGCACGTAATGTCAAGGCTGCAACACAACCGCCCGATCATGTATTCCAACTAATGCCAGACGAAGCTGGTAAGAAAATTCAAAACCAATAACCAAAATTAAAAAAAGCTAAAAAAATAGTTAAATAAAAAAAAAATATTTTTATAGTTTAGAATTGTAGAGAAAAAAAAAACATTTAAACCTGATGTATATTTAAAAGCTCTTTTTCCCAAAAAGTGTTGAAAAACTCATACAAAGACAAAGGAGATTTTTTTTAAATTAAGTAATTTTCTTTTTGAAGATTTGGATTTCAAAAATAGAAAAGAATAAAAAAGGCTTTGAACTTCGTAAAAAAACTCTATTTCCAAGTTTTCATACCCAAACACATGGAAATTTTTATATCGTTCAATTTTTTTTTTGTTTGTTTAATTTTTTATATTTAAATCCAATCAACTCAATTAATTCAAAATTTGAATTTAAAAAAAAAAAAAATAAATAAAAATATATGTTTTAAGAACTACCAAAAGAAACCTAAAATCAATACCTTCAAAAAAACTCTTATTTCCAAGCTTTTATACCAAGACTAAGGGAATGTTTTTTCTATTTTTAGTCAAAGTTCATTACATATTTTATGTTTGAATATTGACTTCAAGATTCCGAGTTCCAAAAAATTATATAAAAAATATTTGAAGTTTAGAACGACCAAAAATATGCAACCTATACAAGAGCTTTTTTGTCAAAGCTGACATGGGGGATTTTTAAATATGTTTTATATATTATATTTGAATACTGGATCCACAATGTTAATTTTCAAAAAATAATATAAAAAATATGTATTAAGCTTGGAACTGCCAAAAAAATATGAGACAAGTACATAAAAAATACCTTTTTTTCCAAACTTTCATATAAACAAAAGGGAGATGGTTTCTATTTTTAAGTCAAGTTTTTTTTAATTTTTTAATTGAATACTGACTTAATGACTTGAATTTAAAAAAAATGAAAAAAGTTAGGTCTGGACTAATCAAAAAATAAAAGGAAGACCTACAAAAAGCTTTTTTCTACTAACTTTTATCCAAAGGTATTTGCCTATAAAGCTTTTTCAAGCTTTTATACCAGGACAAACAAGATATTGTTCTGTTTCTAGCCAAA